GATGCAGCTGTGTGCAGGCTGGGGACAGGGTGCTGCTGTGAAGCATGAGCGCATGTGGGTGCTGCTTTGAGGTACAAGAGCAGCTGACTGGAGGAGGGGGTTCTGCTTCAAGGCATAAGTGTATGTGGCCTGGGAAGAGGATGCTGTTGCAAGGTCAAAGTGCAGGTGGACAAGGGAGGCGGTGCTGTGGCCTGAGTGTGCGCTATGGAGTATGAGATCCCTGGGAATCCCTTGTGGGTAGCTGGCAGGGAAAGTTACTGTTGATGATCACATGACTACAGGAAGCTGCAACTGTTGTAAGTGCAAGCTGGTTGCTAATGTGATCATGGGGTGCTGGGACAAATCAAACTTCAAGGACTAGTCATAAATACCACTTGTTCAGCACCATTGTAAAGTCAAATGTAAAGTTGGACGTTTGCTGACCAAGTAATTGTTAACCGAGGACTACCTGTATAAAATGACTCAACTTCAGGTTCTGCTGATTAGAGGGTTGGGCTTCCTTCTTAACCCAGAACTGATTTGTTTGCGCCAACTCTTGCAAAATTGCTTCATCTCCTGGGCAGATATATAAAGTAGAACATATTTAGTGATCTAAAAGTCTTCTTGAGGCATTCCTTTGTGAAGAATCAAGAGCATAGGCCCATATATATTGGAAAAGAGCATCTTAAGTAAGGATAAAATATATGGCTCTATGTTCACGGAGAATGTGAGAGTAGATATGGGAGGGGGACAGAAAGGAAGAGGAATATTCCAAGCTTTTAGGTAGGTAATTTGGTTTTGACTTAGCATGTTCTGTGAAATCAACAATTGTGGTTTGCAAAGTATGATAGTGTTAAGTATGAAACAGAGTAGGGGTTGACCCTGGGGTTAAAAAACATGCCACAAAGTGAATTGAATTAAAAATAAAAGATGTGAAATGAAGGCAGTATTTTAGAGATTGAATGGGAATGATACTGGAATATTGAAAAATGAAATTAAAATGAATGCTATGTTAATATCCAAGAAAAAAAATGATGGAAAAGGAAGTTGTAAATGCTGCAATATGTTTAAAAATGGTAATGTTGCACTTGGAGAAATGTTAAAATACAGATGCTGTTTGCTGATGGAGTTGCTATATGACAGTGATGGCGAACCTTTTAGAGATCGAGTTGCCCAAACTGCAACCCAAAACCCACTTATGCATCGTCGGGTGCCGGGTGGGTGTGGCCCATTGGGTGGGCGTGGCTGCAGTGGTAACAGCAGATTGGGTGGGACTAAAAAGTTCAATCAATCAATTCCAACTTTGCAAGATCTTTTTTTTTCCCGCGAGAAGTTGAAATTGACTGAACCTTTTTTTTTGTGCATGGTGGCGAAGGCCTAAAGCGAAAAGATTTTATAAAACCCAGCTGAAGAGGGCTCTGAGTGCCGCCTCTGGCACCCGTGCCATAGGTTCGCCACCACTGCTATATGACATTTAAAGTGTATATGCCTGAAGGAATGCTGTTATTGTTTACTTTCACAAAGGGAAAGAAATTGTAGTGAATGCAAAATTACAGTGGGAAGGAATTGTGGGGACTTATGGTTGCAGATCTGTCCAGGCCATCCTTTTGCTCTTCAGCATTTTATTGAAAATATTTATTTACAGCAAATGTTAATCTGAAAATTAATGTCTCATTGATCAAGATAATTGTGTCCATCAAGTAAGTGAAGTGGCAACATTTTTTACAAATGATGAAAAACTGGAACATGTAAATGAATTTGTGTATCTTACAAGAGGTAGGAAAATGGATGGAGAAATTTTAAGATATAAAGTCAGTAAGGTGGTGGTTAACATGTAGTTTGTTGCAAAAAGGAATGTTTTTTTAAAAAAGTTAAAAATCACTGTACATGAGATCATGCTTCTGCATCATTTTATATATAGAAGTGAGAGCGGGGTATTCAGGAGAAATATAAATATAAACTGAATCCAGTAAAAATAGGATATTTAGGTGTTTGGGTAAAACAAGAAAAACAGAGTTGACAATGAATGGTTGCTGATTACTGAATACAAAAGTGAATGACCAATATGAAAGAAGTAGGTTGAGGTAGTTTGGTTATGTAGAGAGAAGGAATGAAGATTAAATGACAGAGCAAGTACATGAAGAGATTTTAGATGTATAGAAATCTTATAATGCTGTATTTATTATTAATATAAAAATATAAAAACAATATAACATTATTCTGTTAAAAAATTTCATGATATCTTTACCAAAGAAAAATATTGCTTTATTTTCTGATTGATTATTATATGACATTGAATCACTGCCAACTCCTAATGACCATGTAGGTTTTTTTTTTTAAAAAATTACAATCTGTCTCTAACAATCTGTCTTTCAAGCTTTTTAATAGTGTATCTTTTGCCACTGTAACTGAGTCCATCCACTTTGCTGCTGGTCAGTCTCTTCTTCTTTTTCCTTCCCCCTTTCCAAGCCTTAGGGCCTTTTCTAGAAACTAGGCCTTCAGATAATGTGTCAGAAATAAAGTAATTTGAGCCTGGTCATTTGTGCCTTGAGTGAGAATTCTGGTTTGATTTGTACAAATAATCCATTGACTTGTTTTCTTGGCTATCCACAGTATTCTTAGGAGTTTTTAAAAAACACCAAAATTCAAAAGTGTCAATAGCCTGTTCTTCAAAGTCTCAACTTTTGTTTCTATAATGTGTCCCAAGTAATACTATTACTTGGACAATTCTGATCTATTTAGGTATCATGGCATTTGAATGTCTTCTCCAGGACTCTCTTGCTTGTTCTGCCAAGTGCTAGTCTGTGACATATTTCTTGACTGCTTGTTCCTTTATTGTTGATTGATCCTAAAAGGCAGAAGCTGTTCACCACTTCAATATCTTCATTGTCCATTCTAAGGATGGTTATTTTATTTGTTGTCATTTGTTCAGTCTTCTTCATATTTAATTCTGGTACCATTATGTTTTCAGTGTGCTTCTTAATTTTATTACTAAAGCTTGCAGATCGTTTTATTTATCAGGATAGAGTTATCATCATAGTACAGGTTATTGATGTTTCTTCCTACAGTTTTAAGACTATGTTCCTCTTCTTCCAAGTTTCTTTTAATCATATATTCAGTTTATAGGTTGAATAAATAAGGGGAGTGTGTGTGTGTGTGTGTGTGTGTGTGTGTGTTTTGCTCTTTTGTCATTCTGGAGCCAGTATGCTTAACTATATTGTGTGGCTGCCTAAGTTTCTCATGCGGACAATGAGATCTTCAGGATTCCTCTTTTTTTCTAAGCACATTCCATATCTTGATGTGATTGACACAATCAAAGGCCTTTCTGTAATCAATGAAACACATAGTGTCTTATTTTTAGTATTCTTTGGGTTTCTTAATTATTTAGCTTGCAACAGCAGTAATGTCTTGTGTTCCTTTGCTTTTTCTAAAGCCATCTGATATTTTTCCCATATAAAGCTCTAATCTGTATTGGATAATCCTAAGCATTATTTTGCTACATGTGAAATTAAAGATATTGTACAACAGTTTGCACATTCCATTACATCTCATTTTTTAATATTGAAATGTAGATTGATCTCTTCCAATCTGTTGACCGCTGTATCATTCTCTAACATAGCTTGGTTATAATCTTGACTATTGCTTCCCATATTTCTGTGGGTATTCTTGTAGCCTTTCAACTTGGTAATGACCAGAGTGCTGATTTAACTTCAAGTGCTAGAGATTCTTATAAGTAGAGAATATCTTCTAGGGTCTCTTGTATGTTGACTTCTCTGTTCTAGCGTAATTTCAGTATACTCTGTCTGATCATCTTTGAATTGGTTCCTATCTGCCCTTGGTGTCCTTTAGTATACCAGTTTGAGGTTAGATTCTCCTTCTATGCTTAGAGGTCTTTTGAAAGATTTTCCTTGTTTTTCCATGTCTGTTTCCATCTTGTACAGTATATTTTTACAGATGTTGAAATACTGATTCTTGTCTCTTTTAACAGTTGTCTCTGAAAACCATTGTTAAATTCCTTTCTGAGATTTTTGTCTTCTC